CCGTCAATTTGGTTCCCAAAGCCTATTTGTTAGGGAAAATAATTTACATGAGGTGTATTCACCCTATTTCTTTTAAGCTGATAAGAGGACTGGGCAGAGCACGCAAACAGAGAACTCATAATGGTACTCATCATGTATCCGTTTCGCTGTTAGAGTAACATGCGAACACGTTCGAGCTAAGTGTGCTATGATGAAATAGTCAAAGGAAAACTCAATACAACCAGCAAGGACTGAATCCGTTCTCTTGAAATAGACGAACTCTGCACTCGAGTCCGGGCATAACAGCTGAGAGGCACCGATTGCTCTGCTCAAGAGGAAAATAATGTCATTTTGATGGACAGTGAGATGAGGCTTCGGCCTTTTTTCAGTGTTCTTAGCGTTTCGTTTGTCCTCAGACAACACGTTTGCCCGGCCATTCTTGCACTCGAGTTTTTCCTTCGTCCATACTGGCCGCCTATATGGCCTGTCGAAGCGGTCACAACAAAAGCTGAGTCCCAGCCGTTGCTAGGGTACTCACGGTGACTCTGGTTGCGGAGGCCAGACAACTCTGCTACGGCTACTACGCCCTGACGATGGGATATTAAGAAAAACTTGGTTTCAAAGGCTTCATCATCTAGTAAGCAGTTAGCAAAATACCAAACTTTTATTGTTTTATATTGTTTTTATGTTTTCGTGAATTGGCGCCTGGCTCTGGCGCTGTCTGTAGCAGATATATCAGGCTCCTAGGAGGGTTTTTTTAAAATCAAATCCACAGCCAAAACGGTTCAAGAGTAATTTTCTTCGACTTTTTTGTCAGGCAACTTTATGAAGCCCTGCCAGCCTAACTTGGGAGTTCAAGAGTTTCCTAGATGTTGAATCAAGCGATTCCTTGATGCCAATTTAGCCTTAAGGTGATTTAAAGACTGATGGTTAAATTGTTTCCCAAAATGGGATAATCTCAACTATCCGTCCCAAAGTCACCTTAAGCAACCTGGAACGACTAAATTCTTATCCAAAATGGTTGAATACGAGCCTGACTCGAGTGTTTTAATTTACATGAACATTTGACTATAAACCTCTTATAATTCAAATTATTTCGATATGGAACTTTTGACATGGCCTTAATCTGAATTTGTACTTTTACTTAGGATGGAAATGCAAATTGTTTGTGAATATTTTTATAAAAACTTAATTATAGGTTAAATGATATCTTATTATTCCATTGTGCCAAATGAAATGACAAGTACAATATATGTGCGTTTTGGCAAGAACGATGACTAGCCGGTTGGGAGGTCAAGAGGCGCCTGCATTAACCTTCAAAAGAGTGTCGACGCAAATAATATACCCGAACAGCCCAAGTGACCAATTCAACTATCATGGCTCGCCCTGGCTGGACTCAATTTTACTTGAAATATACACACACTTCTCTGGGTCCAACCGTAATCCAAACTGGAGGGAACCAGACAAGTGTTTATTTCCGTTTTCTTTCGGTTGATCAAGCCCAATCACCGCCAGACGTACAAGCAATGCGCCAAATGAGGTGGAAAAGGAGACATTTATAAAAATATGACACTCAGTCAAAATGTCAAAGGCATGTAGCACAAGTGGCAAAATAAAATGTCTCTTCCATGCAGCCTCTGGACCAAAGAGTGTACAGGAAGCATGGCCTTATTATGCAAGTGAGAATGAACATGGCAAGCAGAAGCAGTCTCCTCTTGCCCTCCTCGTCTCTCCAACTTTTTGCAGAACGTTATACTTTAGGGCCGAGTGCTATTTTCTCTAGTGCAATGATCGGCAATTCTGTTAGAATGGAGAGCACGAATCCGAGGGCGCAGGACAGCAGCAAACAGCCCAAGAAGGAAACGACCTGGAAGAGAAAGCCAAACTGAGCAAGATGAAGCGGAATTAAGAAAAAAGAACAAATAAGGTTGCTGCTGAATTTGCATCGTCATTATCGTCAACGGCATTTGTGTAATACAGGGAAATGCGAGGTGAACATTCTATTTTAATAAAAAAAAAGGTAAATGAAATCCATAGCATTATAACTTCAGTTAAGATCCGAATAGGAAATTGGAACCAAACTCGATAAACTTGCAACAATGAAATAGGATTATGCAATTCACAATTTTCAAATGAGATCGAAATGTGAGTTCCACTGCTTTCCTGACAGATAATTCCACGGAAAAGTATTACCACCTTGTCATCAACCAAAGTTTAGACAAATGATCCAAGTTGGTACGCGAGAAGAAGCATGCAAAAGTGCTGTCCCAAACGAATGGCAACGTGTCCGACCACTTCAAGGTCCAATTGGAACAGTTATCTTCTCGAAGCCTATGCCCAATTATGATGTCGTACATAATACCAGGTTTATTTTGGTGAAATGAGCCGAGAGAAGCACGATCTACTTCGAAGCTGATGCACCAATTTTCAACATTGGCGACCCCTGAACCTACACGATCTTAGTTTGAATTCCGCTACGGATACGATCCGGAATAACGCAAAGTACATGTTTTGGCCTCCATTCCTCGTAAAAAATGGGTGCTTAAACATCAGCGTATCCATTCAATTCGTCTTCTTCTCTCAGAATTGAGATGAACCATCGCCTTATTTAAACTGTGAAATAGAAGATGTCTAAGATTTCTCGAAATTCTACTTATATACGAAAATTAAGATCTTCTTGCCAGCACTAATTTGAGAAGAGTCCGCTTGAACCTATCACATAAGAGCCTTCAAAAGGTGCATAAACGAGGCTCGAACTATTGCTGTTAGAGAGGCAAACAGACTCATCTCATTTGCCATAGAAGTTTATGTTACTAGCCAGAATATGGTTCAGCTAGCTGGCCTAAGTTATCTTAACTGGAATTTATTCATTGACTTATTACCGTCTTCCAGAGTAATTCAAGGCGAGAAGCAAAATTTGTTTTAGCATCTCATTTCCAAAAGCCGAATAAAATAGTAAAACGCATTAACCATAACTGCTACTTGTATAACGCAAGTAACACTCATAAAAGTGTTTAAGATACTTTAAAAGCTATTTAAGTGTGTCATAGCATTAGCATGGCACGGGTGAGATTTACATCTCATCATATTTTGCTGGCCCCCTTAGAGCAAAATCTTTTTAGGGTCACACTTTGCGAAAGGTGAGCTATTCAGATCAGAAATTATTTCCCTGACTCATAACTCTAGAAGGTATTGAAGTAAGGACAGAACAGACGGAAAGTCAAGATTAGGCTGAACCGAACGGAGAAACTACTTCGGGAGTATGAATGAAAAAGACCACAGGTTTGCGTCATGTTCCCACAACCAATGTCCGGACCCCAACACCACCGGAGCTTGACTTTCAACTCGGCCGCCTGAGCCGACTGATAAAAGTAGCTTCCCAAATGGTTGTTTGTGCCTTACCCAAGTCGGATAATCGAAGAGTATCGGCTGTTTCGAGGAGTAGGCAATCACTTCGAAAATGATGGGATGAATCAGGTATATTGTGTAGCTCAGTCTGGAGAGCACCCGAAAGCCGGACCAGCAGAGAAGACGATTGACTGGACCTGAAAGTAGGTAATGGTGAACAAGTGGGTGGTTATTTTCTAAAAAAATGCAAGATAAATTGGCTTATAGACAGAATTATGAAGCAATGATCACGATAATTGATAATGGCGAGACCCACTTTTTCGCCATAACGATAAGTGTTTCTCTCAAATATAGTAAACAAGCTAAATAGCTCCTGATAATCTAGCAGGGATAGAGATTGTATTTGTCGTCCCGAAGCCAAGAGGAGAGATGAAGAAAGAGCAGGCGACCGCGAAGTCTTGGAAACCAAATGGAGGATAAAACAGGCTTTCCTAAAGTAAACTCTACAGTGAGGATAGGCTGATAAGACAGAAGGATTTATTGAGACCTGGGCACTGTCGAAAAAACGCCAGGCTGGGGTGAACCCGTACTAGGGCAGCTTGACTACCAGAAACTCTGGTGCCAAGTTGTTCTGGATAGGTCAAAAGCCTGAAAAGGTCGGCTTCATATTGGCAGAAGATAGCGCCGATGCGGATGCTGCTGCTGAATATGATGATGATGATTAAGACTAAGACAAAAAGTGTGCACATGCTGACAATTATGAGGATGAGGAGAAAGTTGATCATGATGATGAAGAGATGAAAGATAAGAGTGGCGAATATAAGATGTTTATGATGAGTATGATGAATGTGGCTAAGATTACCAGGAAAATTGCAACAATAATGAGAGTAATAATGATGGTGCTAGTAATAATTTTGATGTTGCTGCTTCAGATGACAATACGCGGTTGATAATGATGAAGATGAGAGCAATGATGATTATGAGAGTTAGAATAAGGACGATGAGAATTACTATGATGAGTGTGATGATGAAGGTGATAGCTGAGGTGGCGGTAATGGTAATAGGGATGATGAGAATGAGAATGACGATTACGCTGAGAATTGGAATTAGGGGACTTTTATGGCGATTTGGATGAGCATGGTGCTGCGGCTGATGATGCTGATGAGGAAAATGAGGATGACACCGATAGTGGTGTTAGTTGTGATGATGATTATGAAAAAGAAGAAAAGGAAGAGTATAACGAATTTGACGATGCTAATGATAATGGGAATTAGTATGCTAACAAGAATGAGAACGAACAGACGATTATGATGTGAATGATGATTATGAACAGATTGAGTATGATGATTAGGTGGTGGTTATGAGCAGTTACGTTGATATTGATGAGGATAAACAAGAAGAATCTGACGATGCCGGTGATAAAGAGAATTAAAATGATGATAAAAATAAGGATGATGAAAGCGATAAGAAGAATATGATGTGTATGTTGGTGACAACGATAGCGGTTTGAGTCATAGTAATTCTTTTGAGGGTGATTATACACATACAAATGATATTTAGAATAATAATCGGATGATGAAA